GAATCTCCGTGTTCATGCAGAATGCAGAGCTGTAGTTTTGAGTATTCAGGTTATCGTCTGAGCCATAAATTAATGAGATCTGATGAATGCCATATGATGACTAATTTTGACTAATGCCCAAGGGATGGTAAAACCATATAGAATACTAGTTATTTGTCATATCCAATCTTTTAAACAATAAGTATATTGTGTTTAGTTATTTTTCCTTTAGTTTCACTTCAGTTAAGTACCTGCTCAGGCATAGTGTTGTCATATAGCGTCATATAAAGTCACGGCATATAAACATGTCCACTCAGCTTTATTTATTTATTTATTTGATTTAATTTATTTGCATTCAATCTCTAGAACATACCAGTTACACTTTACAATAACGTTCAGTTTGTTAACATTAGTTGATGCATTAGCTTTTATTAGCTAACGATAAACAATTTTTTTTTTTACAGGATTTACATAATTATAATCTTTATTCATTGTTCATATCAGAACTGTACATCTATGCAACTTGAAAAGTTACAAAACGGTGTATGTGGAGATTAATATTAAACAAGATTTAATAATTTAGAACTAACTGCCAGCAAATCAAAGCTGATTCTTTATATAATTAACAACGAAGCCTTTTCAGTGTATTTTGATTGACATAACAATAATAAGTCTATTACTACAACTTGGGCCAAGCCATGAATTGCAGCATTATAAATCATAAAGATAATCGTACGTGACTGTTTTAAACATTGTCATTGTTACTTTGACTGTTCTCATGGCTGAAGCCTCAGTTATCATGTTCACAGACTGCTACAGTCCATTTGCTGACCACCTGCTGTGTGAAATATCTTACAGTTTGTAACGATGAGTGCTTTTGAGGAAGAACTGAATGTGCTCAGGTTATTCATGATTCACATCATTTCCTTGATAGTCATTCATAAGTGGAATTCAGTTAGAACAAAAACTATAATATGCTAGTGCAAAAACTATTATATATATATATATATATATATAAATATATTATATCATTAATACGCTTGTTTTACATACATAGACTGGAAGTGTGTTTATGCGGAAAAGAATGATGATAATTTAATAAAAAAGGCATGCTGCAGGGCGATTAACGGTGAATAGCACCTAGTTAAACTACCCCTCCCCCCACATTTGCCTGAGGCAATTATTAGCTGAACAGTTTAATTTTGCTTTATTTACAGTCATTTCTACTTTATTTGACTCAGGTTATATATATATTTTTTATGTTTTATTTTGATACGAATCACCTTTTTTCCTCACATCATAATTTGTACTTTAAATATTCTTTTGTTAAATGTCAATTCCTGTTAATTCATAATGCTATTCATAATAATATCTATATTAATTTGCACAACTTGAAATGTTTCAAACTGTATGCAGAAATCAATATTAACCTTGTAAATGACCTTGTAAAAAAACCCTAATAAATAAATTACAATAAAAAGAAAAATGCTAAAATAGTCAAATTATAATACAATTATTTTATCCATATTTGTCTGTATACTTTTTAATATTTTTCTCAACTCATCCACTATCTTTTTTTCAATGACTTTAAATAAATTAATTAAATGTATAGTGGGGCAAAAAAGTATTTAGTCAGCCACCAATTGTGCAAG